TAGAATAGAATAGAATAGAATAGAATAGAATAGAATAGAATAGAATATTGGCCAAGTGTGATTGGACACACAAGGAATTTGTCTTGGTGTAAATACTCTCAGTATACATAAAAGAAAAGATACATTTGTCAAGAGTCAAGAATCATAAGGTACGACACTTAATGATAGTTCAATGCTGTGTTCCTGTGTCAGTTGTGTCTTCCTCTGAAATGTCTGTATTTCACTAGCATTGAAAAAACATCCCCTGGATTATTAGCATTCAACTTTCGTAATAATGCCTGAATTGCGGGTATCCCATTCATAAGAGAGCCAGTGTTTGGTGTGGATGGACGGATGTATAGATATTTCACTGAATTTGTTTGTTTTTTTGGTGTTCACTTTACTTCACTCTGGTTTTCATTCTCTGTCATAATTATAGTTGCTAGAGGAGTAACTGTTAATCTCTTAGTGTAGTAGTCTAATGAATGTGGCATACATTTTTTTGAACTGTGGTCCACTTTATCATATACATTGAAGATAATTGTTGTACTTAAGTGCCCATTATGACCCTGTTTTGGACAACCTGTATGGACTGAATATTGGAGATGTCAATGCAGTTATTGTGTTTTGAATTTAATTCAAATGAGATTTCATATTTATTCAGTAATGCATGTATGTGCATATTTTTTAAAGTTCAGCTTTCAATGATGAATGTGTTCTCTTACCACCTTTTTATTGTTTAGTTTGAAGAGTGCAAATATATGATAGAGGAGAGGTTGCCTTGAAATACCTTTGCTTATGTTAATCTATATTTTACTAATTTAGCTGGTTAGATGTTATTGAAATAGCTTACTAAATAGTATAATTTTGAATACAAAGCATATGTCCTGAATAACTAAATCACATTTCAAAGCTTTTCCCCCCAAAAAACATTTTCCAAACCTAGTTGTTTCTTCATATTAATAGAAACTTCATTATTCAGAAGGACTGCAGTTTGTTAAGCAATTATTACAACAGTGAGTAGTAAAGATAATTTGCAACACTGCTAGATTTTTCTTTAGGCAGACAGCAAGATCTTTGATGCTGCCTTCAAAGTCTTGATAGTCTTAGGAGTTTTAAGAGCTCATAGACTTTGAATATTACGTATTACCAAAGGTAGAAAATACAGGCGGCACACTTATTTGATCCATTAAGAAAAATCAGAGAGAGGCAGTTTTGTGTAGTGGTGAAGGCACAGGTCTAGAAAAGAAACCAGGAGACCAAGAACTTTAGTCCCACCCTTGGCCAGTCGCGCCCTCTCAGCTCAATCCCCTTCACAGGGTTGTTCTGTGGAAAGCAGAAGGCAGGAGGATTAGGCATGTCCCACCTATAAGTTGCTGTTGGTACA